AACTGGGTGCCGCAGCTGCCGCCGGTGGGAGCAGAGTCGCACAGCAGCCGCGACTACGCTGGCGGTGTGCTGCCAGCTCGCGTGCGGGAGTCGCGGCGGCGGCTACAGTGGCTGGAGTTCACCGTTGCCGCGCTCGCGGTGGGTGGGGCGAACCTCTGCCGCAGTGTGCAAGGCTGCCGCCTCTTCATGGTGGAGAAGCAGAACTTCCTGGAGTCCATTGCACAGTGCTTCAGCGACTTGGTGCTCTCATACCGCGCGGAACAGCGGCTGTGCAACTCGGAGATGTTCTCCGCCATCATTCTCTTCTACGGGCTTTCACAGCTCAACAAGATCGAGAACCGCGCCGGCTTCTGCCGCGTCAGTGTGGTGGAGCGGATGGGGGACGCGGAGCCGATGCACGTCTTTGAGTCACCAGCGAGCAGCGTCGACTTTGGCAGCGTGTACCGCGAGCTGGCGTACCTGCCCCGTATGTCCCGCACCCGCCACGTGCGCACTGCCCTGAAGCTCATCCATAGCTGGTGCCAGCGCGAGTGGTTCCGCTTCTTCCACCTCTGTCGCAGTGAGCCGCTGACGGTGCTGCAGCGGGCGATGGTGTTCCAGTCCTTCTCCTACGCGCGATTTCGTGCTGTGGTGGACCTTGTCACGGCGAACGCGGTGGTCTACAACCGGACGCGTCTCCGCGGCGACATGCCAATTGCGGATCTCGCGGACCTGCTGATGCTGCAGCCGGCGCACTGCGTGGAGCTGCTTGAGACGATGGGGCTGGCAGCGCAGCTGAGCGACGACCACACGCTGCTTCACATCGCCCGCCCCGACGCGACGCCGTACACGACGCAGGAGGCCATATACCGCCACCTTGAGGACACCGGCGGCAAGCCGCGGCTGTGCCTGCCGACAATGCCGGAGTTCTTTGGATTCACGGTCTGGCACCGCGCGTTCGAGTTGTTCCCCGACGAGCTCGGCCCAGACGTGGCGGGTTCGCCGCACGCCGACCTGAGCTGCATGACGTGCCCGGTGAATCTCATGCAGCTGCTGGAGCCGTACTGCCCACCGTACAACGCCGACGTCGCCGCGCTGGAGCTGACGGACGCGGGGAACGAGTGGTTCGCCGATGTGCAGGAGACGCGGGAGCGGATGCTGCTGTGGAACGCCACACACGTTTCGCACCATCGCCCTGGCAACGCAGTCGGCGACGATGCTGGCAATGATGATAGGGATGATGACGAGGAGGAGGAGGAGGAGGTGGAGAGCAGTTGGAGTGGTGAGATGGCGCAGGGGAGGCGGCGCGCCATCCTGGCGGCGATGGACTGCGAGAGCAAGTCGACACAAAGCTCCATCTTCGACGATTATGAGAGCATCAGGGGAAGCAGCAGGAGCACCAACGTTGGCGACAACACGGAGACAACGCAGGCGGAAGGGGCGGTGGGTGACGACGACGACAACAACAATGAGGAGGAGGAGGAGGGTAAGGCGCTGCACGAAGCCAAGGCGCTGTTGAATTCGCTGCGAGGCGACTCGATGTACGCGAAGATGCGCGAGGAGCTGCAAAAGAAAGAGTGTATGGAAGCCCCATCCGCACGCAAGCAGGATGCCGCCGGCGACGCAAACAATGCGCCGGTCTCGCACGGCGGGAAGGAGCCGAAACACGAACCAAAGCAAAAGCAACAACAACAACAGCAACAAGAACAGAACCAACACCAGCAGCAGGCTGCGGGTCCGTGGTTGAGCCTGCTGCCGCAGAAGGCCATGGTGGAGGTGACGCCGCTGCCGAGCGACTACCCTGGCGAGATGTCGCCAAGCCTGCGGGCCACCGTCGAGACGCCGACGAGCCTCACTGCCACGTCCGCCGATGACGCGGAAGCGGGCGTTGTCTTGCAGGCGGACGGAGGCCGGCAACCTTTACTTCCGCCAGCAGCAGCAGCAGCAGCAGCGTCTTTCCCTTTCTTCCCAAGCGCCTCTTCTCGCGTACCGATGGCTGCCTTACAGCGTCCCAAACAGCAGCAGCAGGAGGCGGAGAAGGAAGAAGAGGACGAGGAAGAGAAAAATAAGGGCGAACAGGCGCCCTCGAAGCGGCGGCGGGAGGAACCCGCGTCATTCACCACCCTTCCATTGCCGTTAACTCGTGAAGAGAAACAAGAAAAGGCCTTTGATAACAGTCGCAAGACATTCGGGGCGGAGCACAGCGTGCCGCTTCCGATCGAGAAGGAAGAGTCATCATCGGACGAGTCCGCTGAAGCTCAGCCACGGCGGTTGCGGGTGGAGAAGGCACCGCCGCCGCAACAGCAGGCGCCATATGATCCACATGGCATGCGGAAGGTGACGTTTGCAGTGTCCTCCGCCTCCTCCCCCGCCCTTGCCAGTAAGGCACAGCAGCGACGTCTGCCGTCCCCGTTGAAGGCAACAGCCAGCATGAAGTGTGCAGCGGCGTCGTACCAGGACACGGTCCGTGCGTACCTGCAGAGGCAGCGCAGCGCCCCGTGCGGATCCACCGCGCCCGCCCCCTCCCACCGTGCCTCGCTGCAGCAGCAAGAGTTCTTTTCATCACTGCTGGCGGAGGCGAGCGAGGCGGTGGAAGATGACGCACCGCAGTGGATGCGCAGCTTCACCAAATACCTCATCCGCTTCTTCGCCGCCTCATTCGGAAACGCGGCGGCGAGCAGGTATATGTCTGAGGTTTTGTGCGGCGATCCCGACGCGCAGGCGAGCGGACTAGCGGGGTGGATTTGTCGCGGCTTCACGCCCACAATCGTGTCACATCCGAAGCTGCAGCTGCAGAAGCAGCCGCCTGTTGCTGTTGGTGTGGCGGTGGAGATGCCGGTGCTGCGCCTCGCCTCCACGGTGGTCGTCTTCGGCAGTGGCATGCGCGAAGCTGACAGCGGTGACGACGCGGATGATAATGGTAAATGCGGCGGCGATGGTGCAGCCCGCTGCTCGCTGCGCCGCTCAGTGGTGCGCGGTACGCTGAAGGAAGGGGCGCTGGGTGCGCTGCTGACAGGCACCGACCCCGATGCCGCGCTGACGGCCGCAACATCCATGCAGCCACTCTCGCTGGGGCGCATGATTGCCGCGCTGCTGCTGCCCCAGCGGGATGGTGCGTGCCTCCTCGCGCGGGGCGCCGTCTACTCGACAAAGGAGGAAGAAAAGGGGGAGGAAGACGACGCCGATGGCGGCGAGCAGATTGGCCTGTGGGAGCAGCTCCATTCCCTGCGCACCGCGGAAGCAGCAGCAGCAACACGCCTGTCCCAAACAGCAGCGGAGCAGCACCCACCACTACCAGCAGCGGCGGCACATCCCCGGCTGCAGGAGGCGCTGTTGCATACACAGCTTTCACTGTACGGCGTGGACTGTCGCGATGTGCCGCGCCTGCGTTGGGCGGCACCGCGCGGCACATCCACGGGTGGGCCTGTCGAGCATCTTACTGCTGTTGTTGCACTCGACGCGACGAGGCGGGCGGAGTACGAAGCGGGCCTCGACACGCTGCAGCTGCTGGTGCAGCACGCGGCGGAGCAGCGGGGAGTCTTTCTCGCCGGTGTTCTCGTCGTGCTGCACGCTGCCAGCGCCGCCGAGGACGCGAATTTGCAGCAAACGGTGGAGGACTTCTTTTGGGCGGAGTGGCGGCGACGCTCAGCGGGCGCAGCAGCGGCAGCGGAGGCAGCAGTGAAGGAGGAGGCACCAGCCTGGCGTCGCGCGTACCAGAGCACGATACGCCGCACGGTTGGTGGTGCGAAGCGCGAGACGACGTTTGCACACGACTCGTGCATGCAGCGGCGCGGTACGAGCAACATGGACAGCAGCAGCACCAGGCACGTCGGCGGGGCGCCGAAAACGGTGCGCGGCTTCTTTGGCCGCGGTGATGGCCATGAGGTGGGCAACGCAGCCCGTGCGAGCATCGCCGTCAGTGGGGCTGCCATGCAGAGAAATGCGCCAAGTCCTGTTTTCGTCGTTCTGCCCCTCCGCACTGCCGTCAGGGGCGGCGGCAGGAAGCCCAGCAGCAGCAGCAGCAGCGGGGGTGGTGACTTCACCGCCATCAACGCGGCGGTGCTGCGGTCCGCTTTGCTGCGCGCCGTTGACACATTGCTGTGCGGCTACGAAGAGAAGTGGAAGGAGTTCCTGCTGGAGAATGACATGGGGGCGAGGGAGAGTGTGCTGCGTCACGTCGCGCCAACGACGTGTAAGTAGAGACCG